GTGTGTGTGTGTGTGTGTGTGTGTGTGTGTGTGTGTGTGTGTGTGTGGCCACAGTCATTAACCATGCAACAGTCGCGAACTGATCTGCATTACATGGGCCAGTGGACGTTGCCCCAGTTCATGTTGATTGTCAATTCAATTGCACAACAGCAGGACACCGATGGCAGTTGTTTTGATTCTCACTCTTAAAGGCTTTCAGGTTATGTGAGATGAGAGTATTTGAGAGTATTACATAATCAAGTAAATGGACATTGATTTTGTCTTTTCTATGTGCTGCATCAGCATTATTAAAGGTATGATCCAGCAGTTTGTTTTTTGAGACTCAAGACTTAAATACGTCTTTATTTAACACAACTAAGCTAGTTTTTAAAAGTATTGTTTTGGCATTGAAAACTAAAAGTGTTGTATTAGCATCAATTTCGCACAATATCGTACCATAATCACAGTATGGCAAATACGTGCAAAAGCAAATGGAAGACAATACATTTTATTTTCAGCGCAATGAACTGTGCTCCAAACTCCTTTTGTCACTTTTTGATCATGATTTGCTCTGAGACATTCATTTGGACCACATAATGATTGTAAAACGATGGCTATAGGATCATATCCCCATGATCAAATTCCATTGACCATCGGTGAATGATACCATTTCTTGGCCCTGACTTGTAATGATTTCATATGAATAAATTATAACCAGTTTAAACTAGAGACAGGAGTGTCATGACTATAAATAAGCTATGGCATCCTACTACTATACAACCACATTTGAACACTTTGAGCAGTTTTGATACATTACAGTTTCATAGCTACTTATATCATACATGTCATTCTCATTTTACTGGTAATACTGGTAATATAATGTGTAGAGAAATTAAGATCTCAAAAGTTTCATCATGTACGTGGAATTTCACTCCTGAAAACCTTGTTTCAGACCTGACCAGGGCTCTCTGTGTACCCGACCCCACCCCAGATGTTGTTTGGCGAGTTTGCACCTCCAGTGCCCTCCACCCATGTTCTCCCTTCTCAGAGCGCCTCTGTGTCTATTATTGGCAAGAAGCTGTGACAGGGAAGGCTACTCAGCCAGGGGGGAAAAGGAGGCTAAACATGGTTTGGTGAGGAATGTGAGAGAACAGCCGTGTTCATTTGTACATTCACCAGCCAGCTTGCCAGCCTTCCAGTCGACCATCCAGACCTCTGAGTGCCTGGACAAGGGGCGCCTTTGTCCCCCATCTGCCGGCTACACCCTGCCCTGCTCCTGCCCCCCATCTTACCCTTCTCTCCATCCTGTTGGACCTCCTCTGCCTCCCTCTTTTCACTTGTGGGCCCTCGCCCCAGAATAGCACAGCAGGTCCCCTCTGAAAATAGAGCTGGTGATGTTGGCAGGGTCAAGCTCTCTCTTTATCTCTCCCTCTCTTCTTTCAACTTTGTATCTCTTGTATCTGCTTCTCAGGTTTATTCAGAGAAAGTAATTATCTGATGAGAACAACAAAAACATGTATATTTGAAATGAGCAATCCAAAATCATGGATTATATGATCATCAAAGTAAATGTCTAGATGTGTCATTAGGCCCTGGACTTAGCATCTTGTATACCATCTAGGCCAGATATAAAAGCCCTCCCCACAAGGCGTACGGAAGGTAAACCCTTCCTGCAGAGACATGCAGTGCAGCCTTAATCTCCAATGGACCCATGCAGTGACGTATAACCATGGAGGAGATCTTATCAAAAGGGTGCTGAATGATAGAAAGGAGCTGTTTTTCTGTTTGAGACTGGCTCAAGCTTCCCGTTGGTCAAATAGCAGGATGCTCATATTTTGACAAATTCCACTTTAATCACTCAAATGGCTCCATGCCAACTCTTCCTCTTTTTCTTGCCAGATAGATTATTAGAATGTGGAAATTGGTTGGATGGGTAGTGATGGTTGCAGTCCTTAAAACCAAAACAATCAGCTGAAAGACACTAAAAGACTCTTTGGAGCTGAGGAGAACAGCAGACTATGATAATTCATTCACATTATTAAATTGAATTGTTGAGTATAGCAGCTTCCAACATTATACGATTAATAGCCCAGCCACAGAAAGGCTCCTGTTGGGTAAGCAATCTGTTTGGAGTCACAGCTCAGTCCTGTAGACTAAACGCTGGCTGTCACTCCTGCGTAGAACTCTAGACCCTAACATTTCATGTTGTTGACATCTAGTTAGGCGAGAACGGCCTACAAGGTCCAATCCAAATGGATTTCTTTCCACTTGAATGATGACTGAGTAACTCTAGCTCAGCCCTGAAGCAGTTGGTGTCTCTAGACAGACCTTTCCCTTCTTGTAGACCACTGTTATTCTTGGGGCTGCAGCTAATGACATTCCACTTCAATTTCCCTGGTGTTTGATTGAATGAAGCCCACTTATAGCAAAGGGGCCTCATGGAAACTCTTTGAACAATTACATCTTTGAAAACCGTTAACTATCCAAATCACTGTCTAGGTTTACATATATGGACTTTAACTATAGTGACACAGTGTTTATGAAACGCTGCCTGTTGTGTGGCTGTGTCGCTGGATTACTCGATTGCATGTAAACCAAATCCCTTGATGATGTGCCATGAAGGTCTAGTGCTTATCTGAGGGACTGTAAGTCATGCCTCATGCACACTTTGCTTTTGGTTTTAGTCTTTTTCTTTCCTGTCTGTCTTCAATGGACATTTGAACAGTTGCTTGTAATCATGGAAGTGAGGTGGCTCGTCTAGTGAAACCAGTGATTACAGAGACTTGAGAACTTGTGACTGGTCGTACCCATTTGATCCAAAAAGTAATCCAAAAAATGTCTTTCTAAATATTTTTCCTGCCACAGAATTTTTCTGTGAAAATGTTTCCATAAAGTGTCAACCAAAGAATAATCTGAATTCAAAATACGCCAGGCTCTCCTTTTAATCTGTTTTTCTCTTGCCCTGTTTTTTCCTCTCTAGATGGTCCTGACCTGCCCAATGCTGTCAGCTCCCCTCCCTCCAGCCCAAACCCAGCCAAGAAAAGCAGCTCCATCAACTGGTCCTTCCCAGACAAGATCAAGTCCCCGCGTACCGTACGGAAGATCTCCATGAAGATGAAGAAACTCCCGGAGCTTAGCCGGAAACTCAGCATCAAGGGGACCCCGAGTAGCAGCAATGGCAGCAACGGCAACAACGGCAACGGAAGCAGTCATTTAGAGCCCAGAGCCCATTCTCCCCGAAACAACACGCGTGGGTTGGAGGCCATCCCCCATTCCTCAGGCCCTCCTAGATTAGCTGCATCTGGGGGTGGGCAGGCAAGCCGTAACGTGATCTCACGCTACCACCTGGACAGCAGTGTGTCCACACAGCACAGCTTCAGCAAGAAGAAAAGCAGCGGCAACTCAAAGGCCGCCAGTAAAGGTGGCTACCTCAGTGATGGGGACTCACCGGAGCTTGTGGCCAAATCTGGGAAGCACGGCTCTGCAGAGGTGAAGGGAGGGAAAGGCAAGGAGACGGAGGGAGGAGGCGGAAGCTCTAAACTCAATGGCACGGAGCTGGACATCGATGCTTTCCGCCATTACAGCTTCACAGAGCAGCCCAAGTGCAGCCAGTACATCTCCGGACTGATGAGCTTGCACTTTTATGGCGCTGAGGACCTCAAACCTCCACGCATTGACTCCAGAGACGTCTACTGCGCCATCCAAGTGGACTCCGTTAATAAAGCACGAACTGCCCTCCTCACATGCCGAACTACCTTCCTAGATATGGACCACACCTTCAACATCGAGCTGGAGAACGCCCAGCACTTGAAGCTGGTAGTGTTCAGCTGGGAGCCCATGCCAAGACGCAACCGCGTCTGCTGCCACGGCACGGTGGTTCTGCCCGCGCTCTTCCGGGTGACTCGCTGCCACCAGCTGGCGGTGAAGCTGGAGCCGCGGGGCCTGATCTACGTCAAGCTGACCCTGATGGAGCAGTGGCAGAACTCGCTGGATGGTGGGCCAGACGGAAACAGGGAGCCACAGGTGTTTGGTGTGGAGGCGTGGCGGGTGGTGGAGAGGGAGAACACGGGACTGATGGTGCCGCTGCTTATAAGCAAGTGCATCAATGAGATCGAGAAGAGAGGCTGCCAGGTGAGTCTGCGTGTGGTTTGAAGAGTTTGGCTTTTAGAATAAAAATGGTTAAAGAAAGATAAACAAGTCAATCAGGTGACACCGTGACAAGCTATGTTTCTGCCGGTTATGATCACCAGGTTCACCAGCTTTTGTTTCCCTTATTCATCAATCTGTCTGTTCTATTTGTGATGAGTCGATTGATACAAAATGCCAGAAATTAGTGACAAATGTCCAACGTATTATCTTCAAATTCCTAGTTGTATTTATGACTAACCGTATAAAAACCCAACCATATTCGGAAATGCATGCAGAGAACATTTTTTGCTCGATAAATGATTGATTAGTTGTCAAATTTGCCGATTGTTTTTCACTCGATTGATGAATTGACTAATGATTCTAGCAAAATATGATTATTTTCATTATCATATCATCTTCTGATTGTTTCTTGATTACCATCACAGAGAATAGGAATTCATTTATTGAAAATAATTTCCCAGAGCTCAAAGTGACAGCAGTCCAAAACCCAAAGATGTCAAACTTACAATGAAATATAACTGGAGAAAATTTGCAAATCCTATACACAGTACATGTAAGCCATTCAAATCCTATTCTGTCAATTGAAAACAGACGTGGATTCGTTTTAAAAGAAGGCTGGTAGGATACAATTATACAATGCATGTCTGTATGAGATGTGTGAGAGAAAAGAGAGAGAAATAATCCCATATTCATAGCATCCTTCTAGCTCAGTATGCTCGCCCTGCAGCCAGTTATAATGCTGGATGACTGGCCTGAGCAGAATGGACAGAAGAGATGTATTGCACTTCCTGGAGGGGGCTGCCTCTGTTAGTCATAGAGGAGAAAAACTCAGAGTTAAGAGACTGACGTGGAAGTGGTGTTGATGGTGGAGTGGTCCCCTGGATCATGTGATCATCTCTTGTTTTGCCCCCCCCCCCCCACACCTCCACATTTCATGTGGTCTTTGAAGCCAAGGGAGAGGCGGCGGCGTTTCTCTTAATTAGAGCTGAGACAGCGGCAGTAAAAGTGTCTGGCCACTGCTCCTGACTGATCACTCTAGGGGGGCATGCCAAGGGGAAGCGGGTGCCTGGGGCCGGCAGACAAACATTAGGCCTCTACAAAGAGCCTGTCTGTCAAATCAGACCCCGCCTTCAGTCACCAGTGCAGCATGCCGGGCTTCTAGCAGGAGTAGTAACAACAAGGGATGTTATTCATTGATATCAAGTTAAAAGTTCAGGTCTCTTTACATTTCTTTCATGTTGGTAGGTAATGAGCTTGTATATCATAGTTGGTACTGCATGAGACTAGAGTACCGACTAGTGATTGTTTTTATCATCCGTTCATCTATTGAGTAGTTATTTATAGTTGTTTAAACTTTTTATAGACTAAATCATTTTGGTCTATAAAATGTCAGAAAAAAAGTGACTTCAGACTTCTTGTTTTGTCAATCCAAGAGTTCACAAGTATTTACAATTTCTTTTATTGGTATGTTGATTATTTATTATTCCATTAATCGCCAAAGCTAAACAATGCCCATCACATGTCCCCAGAGCCCATTTCGACCTCTCCAAATAGTCTGTTCTGTCTGAGGAAGAGTTCAAAACCCAAATATATTACCTTTCCAATAATAGAAGCTGGAACCAGAGACTGTTTGGCCTTTGTGTTTGATGAAAGATTTCATCAACTTATCATTTCAACACCGTACGAGACATAAGGGCAGTGTTGACTTGTCTTTATGAATAGTAAAGGGGGCTTTCAGGCCTAGTATGAGTACCATTAGTTGTCAGTTGAATTGTTTAGGTTGAGCCACATTTCCCTAGAGAAGTTTTATCCAATCATTGCATGAATGTCACGAAGACCTTTCAAATTCCAATTGAAAAGAAGGAAAGATACCCGTTATGGAAGTGCAAAATCCCCAGAATGCTCTCTTCACAGCCCAGCTGTTGCTCTCCTTAACCAATAGTTTTCAACCTGTTAGCTCAGATTTCTTCTGTGTATGTAATACATGCTGCTTTGTGTTGCCATATAGGGATTCCCATCTGTTTCTGTCTCTCCTTGTTGGCCTCAGTTTCTCCCTCTGCCTCCTTTTTTTTTTTTTTGTTACTCAGTATCTGACACTGCCTGCCCCCTGTCCCTCACAGTGCTTCTTCTAACCACTCTCTGCAGAGTAGACTTTGTACAGACTGTCAGTCTGTGAGATCGAGTGTAAGGGCTCCCCCAGGTTGCAGGCGGACAGAGGTTAGGACCGGGTCGACACCAGATCCCACAGGAATTTGCAGGTTGTGTCACTAAAGCCCGCACGGCCAGGCGTGCAGCGGTGTGCCTTTACAAATGATTATGTGGATGTTTGATGGGGACTCTTTTTCAGAGTCTCTTAGAAATGAGTGTCCTAAGGGCTTCTCCGAGCTTTTAAGACGCTGGATGATTGTGGGTGTTTTGAAAAGACCGCACATAATGCCTGTGTGAGAGACTGGAGTTATGCATGTGAGCACTCAGGACCCATTAAAAAGAGGATCTATCCCAGAAACCCACATACTACCATACATGACCTCCAAACTGAAGCCCTTTTCAGACATTGAATCAGTAAAGGAATGGCTTTTGGGCTTACAAACACAAGTCTCTGTTACATAAATATTCTGTAATGGCTCTTTTCAAACGTGACAGGACTGCAGCCATATTTGGGCTGTATGTGGCATCTGACACAGACGAGAGGCTGATGGAAAGAAGACCGTCTTCTGCTTTCTCACCAATGACCGTATGCCCGAAGGACGCTTGACTATGTTCTCAATATTCTATCCCCTAATAACATTTCTCTAACAGGGTTGTAATTTCATAGTCTATTATGTAGATTAAAACTATATAAATTATATAAAATCTGATGCTGATCTGATTTTTATAGTACAGCTCAATAGTGCTAAACATCGTTAAAAAGTAAAAGACGCTTAGTTGTGGCTCCCCTTTAATTCCCCCTGGTTCACTGGATATTCTTACAAGAGAACACATGTTTATATACTGATCTGACCTGACACAAAAGGGATAATTCAAAGTATTTTGTGGTTTGATGAACATGTTTTTTGTTTATTTGTCCAAAAGAAGAGGAGAAATGGATCAATGTGTGATTAAGAATCTAGTCTATCTCTGCGTTTGAAACATGGCATTTTATTGACCAAAAAAATCTATCGATTAATTGAGAAAACAATTGGCAGATTAATCGATGATGACATTGCAGCCCTGCGTTTGTTCTTATTGTGTTTGTGTAGTCGTGGACTTAGGAATGCTCATATGCATGTCTGCTCTCCTATCACATGTTTATGTGGGGAGTTTGGAAGTTGATAACAGATCATTATTTCCCTGCTAGTGTCGATTAGAAAGGTGATCAAAGAGAAGTCCTCTTTAGAGGAAGTCAACAACTCGGTGGACTGATTGGTCTAACACTCAAGAGCATTAAATATGTTCAAATGTACTTTCCTTTCTTTCCTTTGATGTCTCCATAAAGTCTTTAAGATAATCCCAGATCAAAAAAAAGAAAGAAAAAAAGAACTGATCCCATCGTCACTGAGGACATTCCTGTTGGGGGAACTCATTTGGTTTCGTGGTCATTGTGTCTGCCTTATTCGGCACATAGGTCTTGGCTGGTGCCGCCTGTCATGTTGCCCGGCGGCAGCCGCAGTGCATAAGTGCAGGTCCTCTTTTTGCTGACAGCTGTTCCCCGCCTGCACTCGGATCCAAAGAGAGACTGTTTTGTTTTTTTCTCAATGGACTTGTTGTTCATTGTGCCCAGTGACTTCTGTTTACCCTCACACAAAGGCAAGTCCCCGCCTAATCTTAGCTCCTCTCGTGTGAGGTTCAGAAAACACCGCTGGACTCGACAGAGAGCTGGTGGGGAGACAGTATTGTGCTCCTACGCTGGAGCCCGGAAGGGCCAGCAGCGTGTGTGTGTGTGTGTGTGTGTGTGTGTGTGTGTGTGTGTGTGTGTG